CAGTACATGCCTTAGATCGCGCGGTTACTCTGACCGACTTCTGAAATCCGTAAAACTTACGGGAAAAAATGAAGCACAACAGATCGCTGCAGGTCGCGGTGCAAGGGCCGAGAAGGCCCACTCCTTATACATACATACATTAACTCATTCATACGGCAAAAATGTTTGTCATAAAATGTATGTTTTATTATTATATAGTATTTCTGTTTGAAACATTTTTCTTTCCGATTATTGTTTAGAAAGTTACGTTTGAAATATACGCAAAAAAGAATAAAGAAATAACAAATAATTACGTTTAGAGTTGTAAATTGTCCAATATTTTTGTCGGATGGCAACGAAAACCGAAATGCGTCTACAATTTTAAATAAAACTTGCATCTCTCGGTTTGTTATATGTGGACAGACGGACGTACATGATGAAACTAATAAGTGCATTCTTGCACCCCTTCGTTTTGAACGCGTCAGAAATCGTAAAATGAAATAAATGCAGCAAACGGAAAAAGGAAGGAAGGAAATAAATATAGAAGAACAGAGAAAAAACCCAATGAAGAGAAAATTTGCATGAATGCGCTGAATTCAAATTGATAAAATAAATGCACAATGCATATGAATGAATTAAGGGAAAGACAGAAGGCTCTGCGTGGGTATCATACCATAAAATGTTTCTCTCTAAAGCTCTCCCATTTTAACAAACAGCGTGAGAACTGAAATGCTATACCCATGCTTGGGAAGTCTGTTTGCTGGTGCCTTACAGCAATTCCCATCTCGTTCTCTGAGTAATGCTGGCACCATTAGTAGAGTCCTGAATGTTGGTGTGCAATATATCTAAAAACAAGCAAGGATTAGTTAGGATTTTCTTCGTAAAATATAAACGAAAAGAAGACTGTGTAAAAGCTGCAGATGCTTTCTGGTTTGGCAATGATAGACAAGAAACCACTGTAGCTAGGTGCATACAATTTTAACGCTTAGAAATTTTTTCGCTACAAATTACTGGCGTCGAGGCTGCGCTAACGTTTGAAATTACTTCTGACAACTTTCAGAAGGCGTAAATTTATGTTGAAGAAAATTATAAACATACGTCACTAATTCTAGGGAGCGGGGCTCCAGCCGTGTATGAAGCTCACAGTTTCATGACCGTGTTCACAAGAGCCCGCTAATTAACCTCAGCCTGGAATCCAGTCCACATCCTCATTTCAATATAAGTTTTGAGGTTTATACGACAGGACTCTTCAGACTGTGGTTAACTGTGTCGTGATCTTTTGTAGTTTTCTTAAGCTGGGGGTGAGGTTCCGAAAGAAAGTGCTACCTCAGTCTCCAAAGTTTAAGTATGCAGGATGAGAAATGTTTCGGTTATATGAGCAGGCTATAGGAAAAATGGGCACTCGGACCTATAGCAAAAATACGACAATGCAGCCCCATCTGGGCAAATGGGAATTCTGGATGAGAACATTCTATTTTAGTATTATCCTCTTATCTAAGCCTTGGCCTCATAGGCTTTTGAAATGCCCCACATCAAAATAAAATCACTGCCCTTCGTTTCAAACTGAAAAATGGCTCAACGACGTTGCTTAGAGCTTGAGAGGAAGATCTCTGAAGAAAGGAGCTGTTATAAGGGACTGCGATATCCAGTTAATGTTCAGAAGGTTTGGGGGAGTCTTAAAACATTCCATCTTCCACGTCTGACTCTTTATATCCACAAAAGTGGAAGTCATCAGTGCAGAATGGAGTACCATCATTTGGTACAGTAAGTGCCTGGTCAGCAGAGTCCCCACCTCCACAGAACACAGAGAAATGCGAATATCGCTTCGAAACTTTTCATTGTTTCCCGTATCTGCAGGAACTATGATATATAAAGCTGGAGCACAGAGGCTTAATGGTTCACAGTGCTCAACTGCATTCGTGAAGTCTCTGGTTCGACTGAGGCCCCGAAGACCGTATATTCTGAGGTGAGCTTTGCTTTCTTACAATACAAATTCGTTTACAACTTCACAACTTTAAAAATACGATATTATTTTGTATACAACTCATGTAAAACTGGTCCGGATCTAAAGAATTTCCATTTATGTCTTATTTACTTTCATACTTTTACTTTTACACATTTTAAAAGATTAGTCTACATGGAGGAGACGAGGAATGCATATAGGATATTGGTGGGAAAGCCAGAAGGAAAGAAACCAATGGGAAGACCATGGCGTAGGTGGGTGGACAATATTAAGATGGATCTTAGAGAGATGATATCGCATGGATTGGATTGATCTGGCTCAGGATATGGACCAGCGGAGGGCTCTTGGGAACATGGTAATGAACCTTTAGGTTCCATAAAATGCTGGGAAATTCTTGAGCAGCTGCAGAATTGGCAGCTCCTCAAGAAGGGCTCATCTCCATAAGTAAGTAACTCTACATATGTTCACCTGATGACGACTGCATGCGGTCGAATCATGTTGTGGTAAAAAGAAATACAAAGACTATGACTTTCTTATTGTATGTTTGTGAGGCTGCTGTTATACGTGTATAACCTGTAGAAAGGCAAAAACAGAATTCAGTCCTACAAAACTTCCGTGAAGTACCTACATTTGAAAGAGAAAATGCAAATTCTTTAAGTTAATGTAATAGTACAAAGACAACATGACGACAGTGCGAAATTTGTAATTGTTTTCTGCTTGGTGACGATAATGAATAAACTACTGCAACTACGAGTATATGTGAAATCTGGTATGAAGACAGAAAAAACGCGTACGCATAGGCCTACATACAACTGACATGTGTCAAATCAGTGTTATGAATGCGATGTCATTCGAGATCAGGGCGCCTCTGTAGTAGAAAATTTGACATACAAGCCACCGATTGGTAATCAAGCGACAAATACCAATATATATATATATATATACACACACACACACACACACGTAGGTTTCCCAGAAAATAAAGACCATTTGGTATTACAAGATTAATCAATAAAATTTGAAAAAGTTTTTTATATCATTTTTTTTATTGCTAGTGGGGTGGGACTAAGTCCCTTGTACTGAGGCCACTTCTCGCCTATTGTACCAGCCCCAGATGATAGGTGAGGATGATTGTGGAGCAATTGGTGGAATGAAGATTGGCAGGGGAAACCGAAGTACTCGGAGAAAACCTGCCCCAGCGCCACTTTGTCCACCACAAATCCCACTTAACCAGACTCGGGATCGAACCAGGGCCGCCGCGGTGGGAAGCCAGCGACTAACCGCTTGAGCTATGGTGCGGCCCTATTTTACATCATTACTACAGACCTTAAATCAGTTTTCTACGTAATCCGCGTGAAGATTCAGGCACTTGCCGTACGTATCATGTGACGAGTTTCTGAATGTGTGAATCGTAGGAATCTGCCGCCAGTCCACTGAACCAGTCTCTAACAGTCTTCTTCACTGTTTTATCGCTACGGATGCGCGTGCGCCCCAAAAACTACTTCAAGTGCGTGAACAAGTGAAAATCGCTTGGAGCCAGGTCCGGAATGTAGGGAGGATGGAAAAAATCGCTTCAGGTATCAATGAAGCAGTGATGAAGAAGGTTAAAGACTGGTTCAGTGGACTGGCTGCAGACTTCTACAATTCAGGCACACAGAAACTCATATATATAGGAATTAGGTTAACCGTCAACACAACAAACACACTCAGTTTCAATGTTTCACAATTCGATCCCCATTCGTGCTACATGTTTCGGTCGTATAAGACATCATCAGGCAGTTATATATAGAAATTCGTAGAGTTGCTGAACTGCCGATACGGATTCACACCAGTGCAACTTGTCGTACTATTATATTACCTCAAGTTGGTGTTACAATTAAAGTAGTAGATACAAAATACGACAAAAATAAAATATATAAAATATACCACATATCAAAAGTTATAAAGTGTTAAACATATTATGGAATAAGCAAGAAATCGACTTAAAAGGTTCTGCTTTCCACGTGCTTTCACGTTGGTTTCTTACTTAGCTTATTCTTCGATCCTGAAGATGGAGGTAATATGTTCCTCCTAAACGCCGTTTGACTTTCAACGGACTAAACAGCGTTACATCGCACATAATGGAGTTCCCTTAAGAGAGATAAACGCAAGTGTTTTATGACATATGGTCTTCTGTTCCAGTTATGATTTATAAGTTTTTTCTGAACATGCGTGTATTTTGACGCAAAATGTGAATAACACAAGTCAACTATTTATTTCATATTTATGGACGAATAAGATAAAAATAAGTAGTTATCACTTGCCATTTGCTCACTGATTTACCCGGCATATGAACAATTCCCAAAGAATTGAGCTCAGATTATAACCCATGAAAGAACTTTCAGGCTTTTCTCAACTTTTCTGTGTTCCAACCAGTGTCCTTTGCCATATACGAGTATATCAAATTGAAGAGCTTAATTGCATTCACGCCTTTAAAAGGAGAGACAATATTGAAACTTATAATAGTTTAACAGATCATTTCCTGTTCAGATCCAAGCATGTAAGTCACACGTTGAAGTCACTAGAACCTCATAAAACATTTTGTGTTTTAGAAACACTCTGCCATTATAAGTAAGTTAATACATACGGCGTCAATTAATCTCTCTGCTTGAAAGAAAGATCCTCTGAAAGGACACCGCATTTTCTTCAGTACTGATAACAGACTTTTTTTAGTTTCTTGTGATGGGGTGAGACTGAGTCCATTTGATACGTCGGCCATTACTGGCCTACTGCACCGGCTCCGGACGATAATGAGTGTGGAGCAGTAGATGGAATGAGAATTGGCAGGGGAAACCGAAGTACTCGAAGAAAACCTGTTCACAGTGAAACTTTTTCCACCACAAATCCAACATGACATGTCGTGAGCTTGAACCCGGGGCTCCGCGGTGGGAAGCCGGCGACTTACCGCCTGAGCTATGGCACGGCCATCATAACAGACCTTGCAGGATAGGCTATTAGAATTTGCAAGTACTATGAATAGAATACGTCGCTTGTGTAACGTGACTTCCCTCTTTCATAGATGAGCAGCTCTGGCAACAGGAGAACTCTTCAGCTGTCCTGCCAAACGTGCAGATCCAACAGCTCGAGGCACGTGCAAATGAGGAACAATCACCCGGAACGGATAACGCGCAACACCGTCAGCCGTAAGTATATCCAAGGATACATTTCTGATTCTGTATTTCGGCATCCTGTTACAAAGCTTTAATTAAACGTCTATGTATTCACAGTCCGTCAATAATACAATAAATGTTTATTCACCATGTAACACTTAACACAACATGTTTCGGCCATAGATGGCCATCTTCAGGTATCTTACTGCATCCAAACCGTTACACTGTTCTGATGTTCGCTAAAACCGAGCATTGCATTCCGCTTAAAAATAGCATAAATAATTAATCACAATCCATTAAATTTATTTCTTTTTTATAATATTTTTGTATTATTTCTTTTTGGTAAAATCATATTCCATCTCATAAGGGGCGTCATCCACTTGTATGGAGATATGTGATTATTCCAGAAGGTTCGTTTTTGCAGCTTGTATTTCTGTTTGTTAGCCCGTTGTTTTGCTACGTCTGCAATCTGTAACATGCCCTTTGCATTGTTGTACTGTCTAGCAGCGTGTCGTGTTGGCTTCACTAATGAAAAAACAATTTTTGCATTTTTGACGGACTACGGATACACAGACGTTTAAATAAACTACTGAGGTAAGAAGATTTCAAAGGGTTCTGACGAAGATATAACACTTGGGATTATCGCGTTTATATATAGACCGGTATTCTAAAGAAAACACAACATTTCAGAAACTGGATCTGTTTCCGTCCTCAGATGATGGGGTAGGAGACACCTACCCTGTTGGTTCCGTTAGAAAGATCTAACCTCAATCACTGAATCTCTTACTCCCTCAACTGTTGATGGGTCTAGTGACTGAGGTTAGATCTTTCCAATGGACCCAGCAGGGTAGTAGTCTCCCACTCTCCCATGGGAAAACGGAAACATCCATTTTTCGAAATGTTCTGCTATTTTTTTAGAAAAAAGAAATAAAATAAAAAACATTAATTCCGAATATTGAATAAACACCATCTGAAAGTAGTTTAAACATGTGAGACATGTCCAACTTCTCGCAAAAATTGTAACAATCATCAGGAGAGAGACATAAACAAATAAAAAATAGACATATAAATATTTATGTAACATTACATAAAATATATTAACATATTATATCGTAAACTGTATTAAATCGTATGAGCAAAATGTAAACATGTGCTGTTCTGCTATTTTTTTAGAAAAAATAAATAAAATAAAAATCATTAATTCCGAATATTGAATAAACACCATCTGAAAGTAGCTTAAACATGTGAGACATGTCCAACTTCTCGCAAAAATTGTAACAATCATCAGGAGAGAGACATAAACAAATAAAAAATAGACATATAAATATTTATGTAACATTACATAAAATATATTAACATATTATATCGTAAACTGTATTAAATCGTATGAGCAAAATGTAAACATGTGCTGTTTGGGACATCTCTCCCCCACCCACGTGTAAGATGCCCTTCCAAGAATGACAGTCGTGACCCACTGTTTGTAGACTTCTAAACAATAATAAGTACAGTCAAAAATCCCTTCTATGAACAGAAACCCAAGAAAGGCATTTAATTTTACGAATACTTATGGCATACCTACACATTCTAAAATCTTATAAAATTCTACGAACACACTGAAGATCTAAGCCGTCTGAAACATACGAAAACTGTAAATAAAATAAACTTGTGCTAAACATAAGCAGCACTCGGCAAGTCAGCTCAAGCAGCTGCACGACACTACACAAAATGGCTTCTCTCCCGCCGCAACTGCATACACTAGGAGGCTAGGAATCCTATCCTCGTGTACCCTATACGTTTCCCATAAGAAAATAATCAATTCGTAAGCTTGATTGATTGCTCGGTTTATAATTCACAAACTGTGCAGGTTATTCAAGACAAAAAATACAAACAATTCAAACAAAGAAGTAAACTTAACATAACCTATTTCCTGCCAATAGCATTCTTTCCCTGGCAGACATACTTGCAACGCCGCCACGATGCTTCGTTTGTGAAAACATGATGTCTCATATGAAGGTTATGTTTGTAAAACAACCGAAGCGGCTACAGAGCAAACTGGTTCAAGCAATAACGCTTCTGACTTGTAATAAGGAGGTCATCCGTTCGAAACTCAGCCAGAACAACAGTTATCCTGGCTCCGGTTTTTCCTGGTTCTTCCAAATCCTTCCTACTAAAACATTTGGACAGTACTTCAAATTAGGCCACAAACGCTTCCTTCTATATTCTTTCCGATTCATTATCTATGAATCACTATGAAACCCGTATACGTAGCGGTACTGCTCTAGACTCCTATTCTGAGACAGCTCGGTTCGAATCTCGGTCGGGACATTGGCTATCCTAACTGAAATTGTAGTAGTTTTCTTCAGTAACTCCAATCAAATACTTGGACAGTACCTTGATGAGGTCACAGCCGTCTCCATGTAATTTCAAATTCACCCCCAAATTTTGACGTTACGACGATCTATAGAGAACCTATCACATTTAGCCACTAATTCTGCATGTAAAGTTCAAGAAAGTTACAACTCCGAAGTTAGTAAAATTTGAACATGCACTATTATTAACATATTCTTGCAAAAATTACAATATTATAAAATATAAAATTTTGTAGCTATAAATACATTATTATTATTATCATCATCATCATCGTCTCTTGTCACAGGTTTATTTCCTGGGATTACTTTTCTTGAACCAGTGATGCACCTCACCACTCAGGCTTCAAGATTCGCACTGTAGCACTTTCCGTAGTATGTGTGATGTTCCCAGGATAGCTGTTTTTTGCAGTGAATCTATGGAGTGCTTACCAGGAATTAGTTCCAAATATGTTCTCAACCCTCTCGTGACTGTACCCGTGGCTCCAATAATTACTGGTATCACAAAACATTTCATGTTCCACATTCGCTGAATTTCGATGCTTAAATTTTTATATTTTAATTTCTTCTCTGCTTCTTTTTGTACTACATTCTTATCCGATGGTACTGATACATCTATAAGTATGCAAGTTTTCTTTTGCTTGTTTTTAATTATTATGTCTGGCCTGTTTGCCAGAACCTCTCTGTCTGTTTGTACGCCTTGGTTCCATAACACGGTTATATCCTCATGTTCACATACTGACTTAGGCACGTGTGAGTACCAGTTGTCTGGTACTTCAATTCCAAATTCTTTACATATTGAGTAATGTAAATGCATGCAAACTTTATCATGCCTTACTATATATTCGTTCTTCGCCAAAACGGGACATCCTGATGTTAAATGGTCTATAGTTTCTTCGTATTCTTTACACAGTCGACATTTACTTCCGATCTCTTCTTTCAATATTTTTCTCTTAAAATAGTTTGTACTGATTGCTTGGTCCTGAGCTGCTACGATTAAGCTTTCTGTTTCCCCTTTAATGGCTACAAATTTCAACCATCGATAGGTCTGTTCCTTATCCACCAGAGTGTCATCTAAGCTGCGTGTTGTTGTTGTTGTTGTTGTTGTTATTATTATTATTATTATTATTATTATTATTATGGCCCTACAGCCCTTTTCTTTCTTGATCCTATACACAGTCGGTAGGACTCCTAGGATGGGGGATCAGCCCATCGCAAGGCCGCTACCTAGACACACAACAATAAAAACACAGAATAAACGCACATAGACATCCATGCCTTGCGTGAGATTCGAAACTATAATCCCAGTATTCGACTGAGCGAAGACAGTATATCCCTTAGACTGAGGTGCCACTGTGTTGGGCTGTAAATACATAGAAACAGTAAGTAGTAGGTCTTTGCTAAGTAACAAAGAAGCATGTAACAAGAAGGAGTATTGAACTTAATTATGTGGGAAGTCTAGGAAGTCCACATGGCCGAAGATAATTGAAAAAGATTCAAGCAGGGATATTGATACGTGTAATAATTCACATTAATTCCAGTAAAACAAATGTCGAGCTCTGTGTACTTAATATTTGAAAAAACGCTGAGGCGCTTATCTGGATTGGCCTACTATACACGGTTACGTACTTACTTACTTACGCATGGAGCTGAGCTCTTCTGGAGGAGCCGCCAATTCTGCAGCTACTCAAGAATTTTCCAGCATTCTGTGGAACCCGAAGGTTCATTACCGTGTTCACAAGAGTCCTTCACTGGTCCCTATCATGAGCCAGATCTATCCAATCCATAACATCCCATCCTATCTCTCTAAGATCCATTCTAATAGTGTCCACCCACCTACGCCTTGGTCTTCCCTGTGGTCTCTTTCCTTCTGGCTTTCCCACCAATATCCTTTATGCATTCCTCGTACTCCCATTCGTGCAACATGCCCTCCCCACCTCTTCCTCCTTGACTTGATCATTCTAATTATACTTGGAGAAGAGTACAAGTTATGAAGCTACTATACACGGTTAGGGGAAATAAATAAACTGACACACATCGATAAAATTGTTGAAGTCATCGCTACATTCGGATGTAGATGGACAGATCATGTAAATAAACTTAGTGAGGGCAGCGTATGATCAGGGGTGTGAAGGAACCGGTTCGCACCGTTCGGTTAAACCGGTTCCTAGAAGTAACGTCGGTTTGACCAAAACCTATTCAAAAATCTCGTACAGGTTAGGCCAAACTCGCTCAGATTAGTCCAAACAGATTCCTAAATTTCGTGCTTGCTCGACCGAAATTATATCCAAGAATTCATAACAGGTGAAAGAAGTCTCTGTAACCAAAACACGAGCTGTCAATTAATTTAAATTATATATGTTTTTGAACCAATATTATGAACAGCAATTAGTATAACGTATATTCAGGTCACAGTGTTGATAAGTACTATATATAATTATTATTGAACACCTCTACCATCTGGGCCCCCTTCATTGGAGCAACTCCGTCCAGCGTAAATTGCACAGGAAATTTGTACTTTTATGTTGGTACTATGTAGAATTTGTCTCTTTAGGGTTGGCTTATATTTTGATAGTAAAAAGTAAAAGGTAAAGCTGTCCCTGTAACAGGCCGTGAAGGTCCATAGGGTTGTAAGACGTCGAGGCTCCCACATTTTCTAGACAATCG